AGAATGTCACTAAGGCTGAACGTCTTAGAGCGTGAGAAAATATCATTCCTTCCAGTGCATAAAACCACATACCCCAAGGAAAACAACTCAGTATAGCGCTCCCTCCTCTTTCTCCAAAAGAGCCACAGAAAAACTCGGAAGAGAGGGTGGGATGGAGCAGCACGTGACCAAATCGACCCGCAAGCCAAAGTGCTGCCCATGGTAACACGCCAATGAAAGGAGAGCAGGGCTTTGCTAGCATCTGGCACCCGGCGCCGCCGGCGGCGCGGGCTCACACCGCAGCATGCAAAGGACTGTAAGAACCGGGTTTTAGGGTGTGCGACAGAGGGACCAGGCCAAAGCACCGAAGTCCCTTTATAGGATGGCAAGTACTGTGATCCTACAGTTGTTTCTAAGGCGTGTTAAAACAATTGTGGAAAGGAAAGGAAGGGGAGCGGAGAGCACGTTCCAAACTGCACCGTCTCAGCTCTGGGCTGCGAGAAGCCCCTCGCACCTCCATCCGCCTGGGCACAGGACGGGGTCAGCACGAGGGCCCCGGGCAGCAGCGGAGCGCGCGCGGGGACACAACGGTCTTCATTTGGGCCGAGGATGGGGACGCCCAGAAGCCTGTAATACTCGTGCCATCAGCGCTGGGAGCCCTCTGGCCCGTGACCAGACACGACAATCCCGGGGCAGGGATTCTTTGTTGGAGAGAAGCTTTATTTCTGACAAGGGACCGCCAGGGGCCAAGCCAGGGCCGACAGCAAGAGTCTGAGGACACAGCGAAAGGAAATGGCCAAGAGCTGGAGGCGAGAGCCAGCCCTTGGGCTCCCCCTAAGAAGGGCTCCCCCGAGGCCATTCTCCGGTGCAGACCCCAGACTCCTGTCGCCTTGGCCAAGAATCCAGAGGATGCGGAAGGCCGAGCCCCACGCCCCCTTGCTCCCCACTTTCGGGCCGCAAGCCTTCTCGTACTTACCGGGGCCCGAGGGCCCGTCTTCCTCGCCCGCGTCCAGTCCCCTCTCCCCTCCCAGCCCCCTCCTCACTTCACGTCCCCTCCTCCAGGGGTCGCAGCCATGTCCGTTACTGGCAACTCTAGGGGGCTTGCCTACCTTCCCGGACAACGGAGGCGCTGGCCAACAAGCTAAAGTTCCGGAAGCCGATTGGACGAGATTGGAGACAGACGGGGATATCTGGCTTCCTATTGGTTACGCGGCGCGCTGGGCTGTAGCTTCAACCGCCCCTCTGGGAGCCTGGCGGAATTATGTGCGAGGTGATAGCCAGGGGAGAGCTCGGAGCCCCAGTCCTTACTTGGTTGTGATGCCTGGACTCCTTCTGCTCCAGAGGCCCTGCCAGAGGCAGGAGCACGGCTTTCGCCTGGATTAGTTTTCCCACGGAATTGTCCTAAAGAGATAGGCAGACGATATCCCCCTCCTTTTTTTTCTTTTTTAGTAAACCCTTTGCAGAGTGTCCCATTTCTCCTACTCTGTTCTAGCTCTGTCCTGGTTGCCAGAACAAATGTCTTGAGATGCCTTGCACAGAGACCTTGGAGTGAGTCCCTCAGGACTAATATTGCGTCCAAACCAAAGCTGGAGAATCTAAGGCAACACTGCTGTTTCCCCCTAACCTCTACTAAATTCTAAAGGGAAAAAACAGGTTTTAAATTTTTTTAGATAATTAGGGAAATCGCCTGGGAGACTTCCCTTGGGAAAACAAAGTAAGCCTGTGTCAGTGTTTGCTTGTTTTCCCAGAGATCTAAGTCTGGAAGACTCGTCTTTAAAAA